CTACGGGCTACTCTTATTTTGAGTTCGAGAAATCACTCACTCAATAATCAAAGCCTACGGGCTACATTACTTCGAGTTCGAAATCACTCACTCGAAAAATAAGCCTACAGGCTACTCTTATTTTGAGTTCGAGAAATCACTCACCCAATCATTAAGCCTACGGACTACGTCACTTCGAGTTCGAAATCTCTCACTCGAAAAATAAGCCTACGGGCTACTCTTATTTTGAGTTCAAGAAATCACTCACTCAATAATCAAAGCCTACGGGCTACATTACTTCGAGTTTGAAATCACTCACTCAATAATCAAAGCCTACGGGCTACATTACTTCGAGTTTGAAATCACTCACTCAAAAAATAAGCATACGGGCTACTCTTATTTTGAGTTCGAGAAATCACTCAATCAATAATCAAAGCCTACGGGCTACATTACTTCGAGTACGAAATCACTCACTCGAAAAATAACCCTACGGGCTACTCTTATTTTGATTTCGAGAAATCACTCACTCAATAATCAAAGCCTACGGGCTACTCTTATTTTGAGTTCAAGAAATCACTCACTCAATCATTAAAGACTACGGGCTACATTACTTCGAGCTCAAGAGCACTCACTATAAAGGCTACAAAATCCGAATTCGATTAAATTACCTAAAGCCTTATAAAAACATTCATAAGGCATGAATGAAATGATAAATTCACAAGACAAAATAAAACAGAGGCAAGACAGGAAAAGAAAAGATATTTATATATATTTACATGATTGTTTACATGATAGTTCACAACATCCGAAATAGAAACTAAGGGACTAAATTTCTTGGTTAACCCCGGGGTCAGTCTTTTCTCACTCGGGTTCCTCCTCTCTCCCGGATCCGCTCTTGCTCCCATCATCGTCATCATCGGAAGCCAAGGCTTCAGCATCGGCTTCGAGCTCCTTAGCCCTTTTTATTTCTCCAGTGAGGTCAAAACCTCGAGCATGGATCTCCTCGAGGGTCTCCCTCCGAGATCGGCACTTAGTGAGTTCAGCAGCCCAATATGCTCGAGTGTCGGTGGTCTCGGCTGCCTCTCTTGCTTGTACCTGAGCTACTTCGGCATCAGCCCGATAAACGGCCACGAATGCATCCGCATCGGCCTTTGCCTTTTGGGCATCAGATTTGGTCGTAGCAAGTTCATAGGCCAACCGAGCCTCGGGCTCCTCTATTCTTCTTACTTGAGCAGAGCTTTTTTCCTTCATACTTTGAAGTTGATTCTTGGTCGATGACAGTTGGGCTCGAGTGACCTCTTTCTCTGCAGCGAAGCGATCCATGCCTCCCTTTCACTTCAAGGACTCCGCTTGTATCATATCGACCTCCTCCCGGAGTTTTCCGATCATCTCAATTTTTTGTTGCGAGACCAAAAATTTAGCCATCATTCCGATTATGAGCCCATACGCTTGTAAAAGTATCGTTACCTGCTCAGACAAATCAACCTGATCTTGGCGAGCCTTGGCCAACTCGGCTCGGAGGTCTTTGATTTCTTCTCCCCTTTGCCCTATGAGGAGTTTAAGGGAGTTCTTCTCCTCCGTGACCCGTTGAAGATCAGTCTCTAACCGATGCTGCTCAGCCCAAGACCGAGAATATGTTTCTCGATGCACCACCACGATCTGTGAAGAAAGAAGAGAAGAAATTAGGAAAAAACATCAAATCATAAAAAGTGGTAATATCAACAGAAAGAGTTAAGAGCTTACCCGATTCAAAGCTAGCTACACTTCATAGAGAAAGCCCGACACATCACTAGGGCTAGCAGTGTCCTCGACCCCCGTAAACAAATCACGGAAAGGGTCATCCCCTTCATGAGACCGACTCATCTCTAGGGCCCCCAAAGCTTGGGCTTCTCGAATATCCCCTTCGGAAAAAGGCAGGGAGAGGGGGAGAATCTCTGATTACTATTTCCCCAAGCGACTTGCTCGGGGCGTTCTCTTCAGTTCGGAGAGCTTCAGGACCGGCCCCTTCCGATATACCCACTGTTTGTTGACTTCGGTAGGAAGCATCCTCGACCTCTAATGACTTGGGGACTTTGCATGAACCTCCCTCTAATCTCTCCTCGGTCCGAGGCAGAGCCTGGTGAATCATCATCGATTTAGCCGCCTTCGGGACATCAGTGCTTCTCTTCACTCGGGTTGCCAACGTGGACCCATTGTTTTCTTCTTCTCCTTCGTCTTCATTTCTTAGACGTAGAACCGATTCTACAGTCAAAGGAATGGTATCCTTCGGCTTACGAGCCGTCCTCTTTTTCAATTTTGGATCTTCGGGAACGGAGGCCCTTTTCCTCTTATGTTCTTTCATTGACTTTAGAGCAGAGGCCGAAGCCTCTTCCTCGGCGGACGGAGGCCTCAGAACTGCATCCTTGCCTACACCTACATACGGGAAAATTTATTAATGTATATGAGGGGCATCTCGTTCGAACTACTAAAAAATACGGGGAAGGGACTTACCATGATTTTTTGCTTCCCATCGGCCCTTTGATAAGTCACGCCATGAACGCTCGGCGTATGTGGAGGTCTAAACCAGAGCCCGTACCCAGCTCTTAAGATCGGGAACTGCGCCGGGCATCCAAGGGACTGCTGCATCACGAAGAGGGGGATATCGGTGAGAAAAGAAACGGAAAGGCAAAGCAATAAGAGATAACAACAGAATTACACTTAAGCTTCATGTTCCACTCTTCGAGAAATGGCATCTTTTCGATCGGAATCAGGTCCGAAGTCCTCACTCGAACAAACCTGTCCATCCAGCCTCGATCGTTGTCCTCATCTATGCTCGAGAATAGGGCCTTGGTAGCCCGACATTGAAGTTTTATTAACCCTCCTCGAAAAGGGTGAGGACGGTACAAACGGATTTGATGATTGAGGGTGAAAGGCATCCCCTCGATTTTGTTCACGAAGTATCGGATCAGGATAACAATCCGCCAAAATGAAGGATGGATCTGACCGAGGGTTATTAGGTATTTATGACAAAACTCTACGATACCGGGGTCGAGGGGGGCCTAACGTGAAAGGGTAAGTGTACACACTTAAAAATCCTTTCACGTAAGTAGTAATATCCTCTTCGGAAGACAGTATTACCACTTTTTTTTCCCCAGTTACAATCATTTTTTATCTACTCGATGTACCCCCGGGTCATCGAACAAATATATCTCGATACAGGTTCATATCGGCCGGGAACCGACGAGCCTTTATCAAGTTTGAAATCGGAGGTTAGAACACATGCCTCCGGAACGCATTCCTCAGGCCGAGGATCCACCGATTGGGAAGAAGAAGCCTTTTCTTTTTGGGGGACGGTTTTTGATGTCTTCACCATTTTTGGATTCAAAGAAGGTGACAAAGATTTGGTGGTTTTGAAGAAAAGTTTTGCAGAAAAGAATCACAGATCTGCGGAGTAAACTCAAAAGAGGCGAAAAGAAATTTAGAAAATTTGGAAGATTGAAGACGTAAAAACGATAAATGGTGAAAGGAAGAACTATTTATAGATTGAAGCAATGGCGGTTCAATATCAGCGGTGGCCGACCACCGTCTGACATGCATTAAATGCCTTGATAAGCTAAACCGACGGACAGTTATAACACGCGTCACGGTCGGGCTCAATGCAAATGTCAGCATATATCCAATCGATCCATTGAGAAATCATATCGTTTCTCACTACATCTTTCCCGAGAAACGAGGAAACTATTTGTATACGGTCGAAATAGATTTCGGCATTCGTACTATCGATCGGGGTCAAAATATAATGGATCGAAGAAATTCTTTGTAATATCGAGATAGGACCCGAAGAAGACACGAATGAGCTTCAATTTTCGTGGACTGATCAAGCACCGAGTTCGAAGTCATCATCGAGCTCGGGTCCAGATCAAACTGTGTTTAGATGTTATGAAATCGAGCTTGAGGGCAAAAGCCAGCCGATATCGAGCCCAGACCCCGAGTCAGCACCGAGCTCAAGTCCGTATCGAGCTCTAAAATAATACCGACCGATACCAAGTTCGATCAAGCTCGATCTCACAGACAGGAGCCGTTGCAACCACACTAAGGGAAGGAATCCCGGCAGGAATTAGGGAAAAGCTGATCTATCATGGATTTTCCACTATGTATTTTTAATTATATTTAAAGTAGGATCCTCCGCTATAAAGAGCATAGCTATATTTCTGTAAAGGGGACAGAGCATTGTAACTAAAAACATCATACATTCCTATATTGAAGGGATATTCTTTTAAGCTTTATACATTGATTCATCTTGCTCAATTCTAAAAGTCTTCTTTCCAACCTCGTTTATGTAGCGTTCTTTGTAATCCACAATTGATATTTCTATTTATCCCTACGATTTGTATTAAATTATATCACGTATTCTTAGAACTGTGTACAAATTCAACTCTATCCGTTTTTCGGGTAAACAAGATAATATAAAAAAATTGAAACATTTAATAATATTTATCTCTTGTAAAACAAAAAAGAACCAGGCATGTTAGGAGCAGGGCGGAGTTAGGTGGGCGGAAGGGGTTCAGCCGAACCCCTTCAACCGAAAATTATATTGTGTACATAAGGTCAATTTGTTTTCCATGCTGAATTCCCTTAGCTTTTTCGCGTATTTTTTTATTTATTTTTTGAATCCCTTTGGTAAAAATTCTGCTTTCGCCACTGGTCAGAGAGATGTTGAATCTCATTCAAGTCTCATTGTCTCTTCCCTCGGAAAAACTTATCTGATCATGTAAAGCCTAGCTAGTCGATAACGGTTGGAAATCTTGTGATCTTTAACATAATTTTCTTCGGCCAAAAACCATTATATGCTGGAAATTTTACTTCTCTATGAACAAGTAATACAAGGACTTTAAAGGTAGGGAAATGCATCCCAAACGGCCTATCTATTCACATGCTGCAAAATATCACTCTCTTTTCTTGTGGATCACCACAGTGAAATTCTGCGGTTTCCTCTTCAAAATATTTCACTGTAATGAGGTTTAAAATATGTTGTTTAATGCTTGAAATAAACAACAGCATAATAAAATGCTGTTAGATAGATAATTTAGTAGTCTCTAGTAAAACATTATTGTACAGCAAACCACAAACTTGGACATTATTCTACATAAAGATTTTAGTTTTTTCTGAAGGAATATAATGATGTTCACTGCTGCTTAGCGACATGGCGCCAGGTCACTCTTCACAGTCTTAAAAGATCAAGACCAGACTTATTTAGTGGCCTGGAGAAAAACTCAGTGATGTAATCAATTACAAGAAATTCTTTATATACTGCAGGTTTTTCGTCGGTTATAAGCTCTTTGATTGGACCATACATCTTTGGAGGTGTAAAAACACCAGTGAAGAAGCACGCCACTGAAATCCTTGGTCCTATCTGATTTGCTAAAACTCTATGATTCACACTTACAAACTTGTCATTTGATAGTATCTGTAACAAAATCACATTGAGATAAGTAATGAGTAATTTGTAAAAGATGAGGATAAACGAGACAAAAAGGTTGTGTTTTGTTGCAAACCTGAAGAAAGTCACCAATATTAACAACCAAACCTTGTTCAATCGGTTCAACATCGACCCACTGGTTATTATGCACGACTTGAAGGCCACCGCTTTGATCTTGAAGCAGAATGGTAAGAAAATCAGGATCTGTGTGTTTATCGGTACCAATAGTTAGCTCCGGCTGTGGGCATGCCGGGTAGTAATGGCATACCAATGTTTGTCCCTTGGCACATTCCATGGCATTTAAGTGGTCCGGTTTTAGCCCAAGAGCTTCTGATAGTAAGCTAAGAAGAGTTTCTCCTAGTTTTCTGACATGATTCATGAACTCAAGGAATGCTTCCCTAGACATTGGGAAAAGATCAGAGATTACAAAGTTACAATTTTTGGTAAAGATTTAAGATATTCCTGTCTAATACATGTCAAACAATTTTACTCCCAAGACAGAAAATTTTCTGAATTCTGCTGAAAAAGACTCCTAAAAGGAATAAATCTCCTTAATATGCTTTATCCTTTTCTTGACGATCTCTACTTCTCACAAGAACAACAACAATATCCATAATGTAGTCTTTCAGAGAGTTTTGTTTAGGGGAAGAATTTATTCTCTCAATAAGTTTTTTTCTTTTTATATTAGTAGATTGATGTAGGTCAACTTACTAATCCACTTTAAATGAGAGTGTCTCTTCTGATATATTTGTTTTATGCCTGATTTATCGTTATCAAAGATGTCTTTGTTGGCTTCCGCATGCACCATGTTATTTCGATCCCAACAATTTCAACTTGAAATGAACATACACCACTGACCACTAAGGCAGTGATCTCTAATCAATCAACCTGAAGATTTAGTTCAAGAACTTCAACCATCATACCAAAGACTTAAATACCCTGCATATATCAAACAGGACAGATAAAGAATTCTTGCAATTCAAGTGTATTAGAATAGATTAGTTAGTTACCTGCAAGCTGTCGGTATTTCTTCAGGTTCAATATGACCAGTAACTATCATAGAAATGTTCAATGTATCCCTCCAGTTTGCTGTCTTTGAATTGTATAGATGAAGATCAGTCTCATATCTAACTCTTCTTGTTGTTCGATCACGCGAATAGTACTCTTTCTTTAGTTCAACATCTTGTTCATGAAATTTACGAGTCCCATCAATCATTCCTTCCAAAACACTCGAAGGAATACCATGATTTATCAGTTGGAAAAATCCCCACTTCTCTGACGCTTCCCTTGTTTCATCAACAACTTTTTTACGTCGATCTTCGACTTCTATACCACTGAGATCCACCACTGGAACTTTTAGAGTTGATTTGCACAAATTCAACTCCTCAGCAAGTTCATCACATGGCCTAATAAAAATTCTTGGAATTTCCACAATTCCAGCATCAACTAGTCCCTTAACGCCAGCTTTTGTATCATCGAAAGCCTTTAAATCGTTCAATCGATCATAATCTATTGTCAGTTCAGCTTGAGACTCTTCAGTGCTGGACATATTTTGTTCTTAATTTCAAGTAGGCTAAGTTTCTTGAGCAAATAAGTTAGATAGTGCTCATAAATTCAATTGTCCTTTCGTGAATCAACATTCAAAAGAGACATATATCTTTTTTAATTACTTAATTTGAAGTAACAATGGAGGGGTTTGGATCATATCCAATAAGAGATTTCTCCATTTCCTCCAATTCTACTCCAAATGAGTTATACGTTAAATATTTAAATATACCAGATTCATCTAGTTAACCAATTGATATTAACTACTGTTACTATTTTCTCACCACGATAAAACAAAATAAAAGCAAACACATTTCACCCTAAGTCTCTCAACAAGAAAAAGAGAACAAAATCCAAATGATTTCATATATGTTATGAACATGCCCTTTACCAATTGTACTATTGGGCTGGTATTTGGGCCAATTGTTAATTTTTTGGTTCTCTTTTGTTTTCCTTCGTCTGGAAAGTATGGATTTTAATTTTATTTTTGCATGCAGTGCAGACTGCTCCATGTTAATTCTCAGCCAGATTTGTCTGCCTTTTTTCTGATTCCCTATATAGGATACCTTGAACTTCAGTTCCGGAGATAGAGGGTGTTTGACTAAGCTTATAAGCTGGTCAAACTAGCTTATAAGCATTTTTCGGTTTATCTATGCATTTGGTAAAGTTAAAAGTTCTTATAAGCCAAAAGTCATAAGCTGGTCACCCCCAGCTTATAGATTTTTAGCTTATAAGCACTTTACGTTTGATCAAAATTTTTACTATTTTATCCCTAAAATATTCTTTTTCAAAACAAAACTCCTACATCGATACTCATTGCCTCACGTGTTTTTTCAACCTAAACCCCACGTCTCTTCAAGCCTGCAATTCTCGTTGACTATTTGAGGTAAGCAAATTCTCTGTTCCTTTGCATATTTGTATTTATGTGATTTTGTATTAATCTTTGAACTGTACGTAATAAACGAGGGCATATCAAATTTTTGGTGTATTGGTTTCAAAGTGTTGTGGTGATGAAGATAATGTTTCTCTTCGAATATATTATCCTATTCAGGTTTTTTTTTTTTACTGAGAAACTTTTGTCAATTTATTAATTATTATAATTTATGATTATATGCTTATCATAAAATAAATTATATTTATCATAAAAATTATCTTATTTAATTACAGTTGTATTTAAAATAAAATAATAAATAGAATATTTTGTATTTGAATCGATCTGGAATCTAAAATTTTGAAGAAATTACGCCCTTATAAGTGTAAACAGTTCTAAGGTTATTCAAGTCATTTTAACAGAAAAAGAGTTTATCAGCATTTTTTTATCAAATACTGCAGCAGTTTATTATCAATTTTAGCACTTGTATCCAAACACGTAACTCCTTATTTATTAAATTAATTTCAGCACTTAAAAATGCTTTTCAGTAGCTAATGCTTATCCGCTACTTCAAATCAGCCAATCCAAACGGGCTCATAATTGTTCTTAGATTCAAGAAAGCTAATTTAATTTTCTTTAGCAGATTATAAGATAGTTAAGATCCACGTACAGCGCAAACTGCAATTGTCCAGGACAATTTGTCCTTTTTGTGAAAAAGCAATTTTCTAGTCTCAAGTTTAAGACGGTACAATTGTCTCTCTTCACTTATTCTTTTAACACAAAGACGGACCCAGGATTTGAGCACGATCGAGGCACCATTATATACTAATTACTAGCGATACAATTTGGTATAGAACTCTTTGAAAACTTATTGATTATGATGGCTTATCATCCAAGTATAAACAAAATGAAGTTCTAAACAAAGAGAAAGCACCGGAGAGAGACTTTTTCTCAAAATGAGTGCTACCGGAAGGGAAGGTGTTTGGTTTAAGCATGTTTCAAACCTTAAAGTTTCTAATTTTTTCTTAAATAAATAAGGGTCAGTGATCAAAAGGTATTCAAACTTCAAAAATTATCAAAAACTTATTAAAGAAATCAATATTAAGGGTGTGTTATTAATCAAAGAACTGAAGAAAAATCCGTAACTCTAGTTGTCATTACCGAGTCCGAGTTAGGGCTGTATTTTGTCCCGGGCCCGGGCCTTAGTGGGCCTAACGGGCCGGGCCTCGCGGTCCCGGGCTTCGTGGTCCCGGGCTCTGGCGGTCCCGGGCCTGGCGGTCCCGGTCTTCGTGGGCCTAATGGGTGGAACCGGCCCGTGACGGGCCTAAGCCCACATGGTCCTGTGCTTAACGGGCCGGGCTCGTGGGCTTCGCGGGCCTAGCGGGTTTTT